AAAAAAAAAAAAAACACAGCCCGCAAAAAGGTCAAAATATGGACATGATGCATGCGCAACAACAACTCGGAAGATTTCGGGAAAAAAACAGGCCTCATGATGGTCTGTTTTCGTTCCAAGATAACTCAGGGGACCCCTGTGAAATCTCGGAAAGTTTACAAGGATTTTGCTTTCACACTCATCCAAACCTGGTTACAAGTTGTTAATATTTGCAAAATAGCATCAGTGTGAAATAGGTAAATACTAACTCTTCTCTCTCTAGGAAACCATATTAATTCCAATTATTTCCCCCCCCCCCATAAAAAAAAATATATAGAATAGATATATTATATAATATAGAATATTTACTTACTAAGAAACCAAAAGCTGTAGTTGATAAATTCTCCTGAACTACTGACCACATAGCCCAGCGGAAGTTAGTAACAACAGCAAATCTAAATAAAATAAAAAACATAAGTGACAGATTAACAGATGTAAACAAGGTGTATTAAAGTCAAGTTCCAGAGTGAAATTTTTCTTTTTAGATATTTATTCAATACAAATGAATTTTCTAAGATACTGAAGGAGTGTTTGAAGAAATCATCAGGAGCAGTTAATAAAGATACACTTTTTTGAATATGTAAAAACTAGGGGAATAAAGAATTTCAGTAAAAAGGGAGGAGGGCTCATTAATTGACGCCTCGACCCCCCGTCATCTGATGCTGTCGGACCAAATGTATTAATTTGCCTATCCAAATAATGTTATTTTGATTGCCAATCCCTAATATTGTGGTCTAAAAGCACAATTTTGAAACCCTGACCGAGGCCCTAGTCAGCCCCTTTGTTTGGACCCTGCTGGCGGATATGTTGGACCCGGTCGACAAATTTCTGGAGCTACCACTGATTGAGGGCACCTTCCATCTGAGTTGCCTCTACAAGCTCTACGATGGAGTAATACAGGGCTCCATTGGCATGGAGGTCAATAGTGCGGAGTGCACCCACAGCTAAGCTAGTTTCCATAGCTTTTTCAACTGAACTATTAATCCTAATTATTTCCAATTTAATTTGCTATTTTTGGAATGATACACTTGCTGGATTTATGATAGAAACGATTACACATAAATTTCAAAGCAGATGCACATTGTAAGAACAAGATACTCTAAATTACATCATATTGAATTTTTCCAACTAGATCTAAGCGCGAGGTTCTTGTTTCTTGTGCTTAAAAACCAAGAGTTAAAATTCAGCTAGCATCTAATTTTAATTGAAGTCTGACTGTTAACAGGGGCGGATAGCACGTGGCACAACCCAACCCCCTCCTCCATTTTGGCGCTAAATTTTAAAAATTTCAATGCATATTAATGTTATGTGCTACACACTTATCTATTCTGAAACTGTTGTTCTCCCCACCCTCAGTTTGAAAAATTCTGGATCCGCCCCTGGTTACAGGTTCCACACGAGAGTTAGGCAAGATAATCGACATGTCGGTTCTGGCGCTGAACAATGTTGTCACCGCGGATTTCAAGAGGCCAAGCCAAAATTTCCTCTTATTCCAAATTTAAAATATTGACAAAAGAGATATACCTGAAAACTTCCCGAAGGAATAACTCCTCGTCGTCCTTACTGCAAGGTTTGCCAGCTGCTTCCATGTAAGACCTGAAAAATACTAACTGCTGTTCCTCAGTTGGGTACTTGCTCATATCAATGGCGTAGTACGGATACTGGTCAGTATTATTATTGATTGCCCATTCGGCGAAATGATTGGCAAAATCATATTCCCTTTGAAAGAAAAAGAAAACAAAATGTTTGGAAATTTTAAAGACAATAAAACACAGTAAATCTTTTAAATAAAAAAAAAAAATAACATGAAAGACGCTCTGGTATCAATTGATATTTTACAATACATTGTTAAATTGTTTCAAGATGCATTGTTAATAGTTATACAGTTCAATCAAAGAGAAAGTAAAAAATGTACAAAATTAAACAATGGAAGGAAACTGTATGGCAATGATATGTTTATGTCATTATCTGTAACCACCATTTTATTTAAATTTGCACTATCCATTCTATTGCTCTTTGGGAATCCAGTCCTTCTGTATGGAATGAGAGGAGTTGAATAGCTTGGTGGTTAAGATGATTGGCTTTTCAATCCCAGGGTCCTTGGCTCAGTTCCTGTCAGTGTTGCAGGATTTTTTTCTCACGACCAAAACAACTCCACTCCCTAAACCTCAAATTGAGGTTTGGTTTGTGTAAAGCATCGTGTGTATTGTCTTGTGAAAGGGATTGTCACCTACAAGTAGGACAGTGATATTATTAGCTATTGATATTGGTACATGTGTTGTGTTGCCAAAATAAAATAAAAAAAATAGTCCACATTTGTTTTCTTTCAAATCCGTCACTTGCTTATGTAAGCAAATTGGTGGTAAGCACTATATATCTTTCATTCTAAGTTTTAATTCAAAGGAAAAAAATAATTTAACATTCCAAAAAAGGCAAATCCGTCACTTGCTTATGTAAGCAAATTGGTGGTAAGCACTATATATCTTTCATTCTAATTTTTAATTCAAGGGAAAAAAATAATTTAACATTCCAAAAAAGGCAATTTAAGTTAAATTATTTTTTAAAATGTTTATTTGCTCAACAAAGACAGTACATCTTAAGCTCTAACCAAATTATCAAATATTATGTGACAAATAACTATGATGCCCATATATGGGTGTAATATGACATCATCATGCCCATATATGGGCGTATCACACACATTATTTTCACATGTAATTTGATCGTGTGTACAGAGCTTCACAACAGAAGCTACTATACTAATACAGCTTGTCCAGGTATGACGATGTATATATATGCATGTATTTAAAACTTACCTATAACTATAACCAGCATATTCATAATCTATCAAAACAAGAGAAAATTGAGATCTGTCTTTGCCTTCGCAGTACAAGATGTTGCCTTCTTGGGCGTCATTGTGACAAAACACAACTGGACTCTTGGAATCCGAAACAAGTTTTCTATGAAAATAAAATATAAAAGACTGTTAGAATGAAAGAGGCCCAAATGGATGTGTACCACATGCACAGATCATGAATTTAGGAGTATCATGTGGGCCATAACCATAAATTTTCTAGACCCGCCATCTGCAAAAGTCTGTCCACCTGCCACCCCCATCCCCCCCCCACCGCATTCAGAATTCCTGAATCTGCCACTGCCTACATTAACTGTCTCTTGTAACCAAAATGTTTGTGACTGAAATTTTGTGACTGATAAAAGAAAAATATTAGAACTGCAAGAGAATTGGCAATCTTGTTGTAAACTGTTCCTAAATGGCAACAACATTAACTTGGTTAATGGTTAATTTTATATAGCGCAAAATACAAAAAGTCTAAGTATGCGCGCTGTCAACTTGCACAGAAAGTGGAAATGTAAAAGGATTAAAAATAAAGATGAAAGTTCCAAGCCAGCACCCAAACCGCAGTATGGGGATACGCCTTCGTCGCTAACCAGGGATTGATCTAATTAGTCCCGGCCAGCACCTGTTGAGTCTCGGCCATCTCGGACTCAGGCGCCTCCTATCCTAACTAAAGCTTATCAAACTCGCTGGCATGGAAATGAAACAGCTTGATGTACTTTACTACACGATTAATAAACAAACAACTGAGTCTTAAATCAAGCTTTAAAACGGTGACTAAAGGAGATTCACGAATGAGCAAAGGTAACAAGTTCCACAACTGACTTCAATCGGCAGGGTGGACAATCGAGAGTTGTTGAGTCAGACGTTTAACAGAATAAATGAGACCACGTTGAATAGGAGATGACCCAGTTGACCCTCATTAGGAACAATTAATTTCAGAACAATATTTACAGTACTAATCAAGCCTACCAATATCACTACCATTTTATTATTGTATTACAATGCTAAAGTAAGAATTAAAAGTTAGAAAGGTGATAAAAGTTCATGTAAGTTTAAGAATAGGGGACTTTTCCTGTTCTTCCATGGGGTATTAAATGGCTCCTCTTTCAAATATGGGGGAATGTAGTGACAACCATTACGGGTTCATGACACCCAGACTTTGAGGCACTACAACTGCACGGTCAGTGCATTTGAATATTAATAATACACATGCAATGTCCGGCGGACCCAAGGACCTTGAGAAGATATACAGCTTAAACTGTTTAGTGACAGTGTAATCACTCCAATTATACAGATTGTATAATAGCTATGCAGGAAATATATACCCTAAATGGTAAAGTACCAACATGTTTAGCAATTTTACAATATTGGGCTTACAAATATTGGCTTGTAGAGAGCTTTCCTTGTAGTGCATAGCTGCATCAGCAGATCACAGCGACCGACTGGGAACATGTTTGCCTTGTTTTACTGGAATATTGGCTTCAGAAGTTTGGAATGCTAATTGCTGTGCAGACAACTTGTGTCTATGTCCAGAGATGTATGAGTGAGTTTACATAACATTATGTTTAATGCCAAAACAAGAGAAGCATGGGACACTCCCACCAGTAGTACAGAAAACTCCATGATCAATGGCATTGTTTTGATGTGTATCATTAGGCATGTGGCAACGAACATGATGCGCTTACCAAGTGAGAAAGACAAGGCCAAAATGGACCGTACTACAGAGAAGATATTATGACAGTTGAAGAAGAAAATGTCCTTTGTTATGTTGCAGTACATTCCTTTATGCACTTAACAAACGTTACAAATCAACAAAAATTAAGGTGATAAAAGTTCCTTAATAAGTTTATAAGACTATAATTAAATAAAATTCAACTTTAAGAGTCAACACCTCTTTTGCATTCATTCGGAGCTTTGCACTCTTGCGGCAGGCTAATTGTTAGTTTTTTATACACTTCAGTTGAAAGAGTTTGAAGCTTATTGTACTAGCAATAAAGCTCTAAATGCAAATATGGTTCTCTTCTTTTATTCCACAATATTTACATCTAATTTCAATTATTTCTTGAATAGGACGGTTAAGTTCCGCAAGTTCAGTTAATTTTCGATTTACTAAAATCATTAATAAAATAATTCTAAACAATCAAAATGATTAACAACAACTACTCATTAAAACAACATACATATGCAAACAAATACTAGTCAATAATCTATCCTTCAATAAATACAGGTTGGCAAATCAACAGTTAAGCCAAAATAATTGTACCATCCTGCCATATGCATAAATATAAACTGTGATATCCATTCTAATACATATTAATTAAATAAGTAAAGGTAGGTCAAACTACAACAACAAAATAACAATAATATGAAACTATCAACCATAAAGCTGAGCTTCCTCTATTTTAACTAGCACATGTTAATATCACTACACTACCTACAGTACTTAAGGTGTGCTCTGCACTGTGTAAAAGGACTAGACTGAACTGGTATACAAAGAAGGTTTAACAAAAAATAGCACCTGGCTACTATGCAAATTAGAGTCAGGGTGGATTAAAAACAAGCAAACCAAGTAAAAGCAACTTAAGAAAACTTTGATAAAATAAGACAGAAACTAAATAATTTAATCAAGGCTGCTGTACTTTCACTTTACCTCGATGAAACATTCATGAAAATAACAATATTTTACTGAATTAACATTTGTTCCACATAAACTAAAACTTGTATATCTACAAAATACTGGTAATTAGGTTGTAGGTTGTACTTGATGATCAGGTACCCGATATATTGAGGCAGTAATTGCCCAGAACCTTAACATGTCCATCCATTGGAGACCAGTGGTCTATCTAGAATTGCGGAGGGGTTGATGAAGGGAGGCGTGGGCAAAGAAGGGAGGCGTGGGCAAAGAAGGGAGGCGTGGGCAAAGAAGGGAGGCGTGGGCAAAGAAGGGAGGCGTGGGCAAAGAAGGGAGGCGTGGGCAAAGAAGGGAGGCGTGGGCAAAGAAGGGAGGCGTGGGCAAAGAAGGGAGGCGTGGGCAAAGAAGGGAGGCGTGGGCAAAGAAGGGAGGCGTGGGCAAAGAAGGGAGGCGTGGGCAAAGAAGGGAGGCGTGGGCAAAGAAGGGAGGCGTGGGCAAAGAAGGGAGGCGTGGGCAAAGAAGGGAGGCGTGGGCAAAGAAGGGAGGCGTGGGCAAAGGTGGGAAAGGATGAAGGTGGAGAATTGGATGATTAAGTAAGGGGGATCTAGATCAAAATAAGGTGATTTTTAAGTACTTCAGTATGATTATTTTTAAATTTGCTCCAAACATTTTCAATAGGATATGCCAGTACTGGAGACTTTTGTTTCATACCTTAAATGATGGGACAAATTCAGATTACGTACAGATTGACATTTGTAGTCCCAACCTTTGTATTAATCCATTGCAGGTATTCCATTAAAAAAGAGATACCCAAAAATTACCTCTAGAATTTGTTGAGTTGAGTATTAATTGCCACTACATAAAAAATTAATTAAGAAAAAAAAATTGCAGAAAAAACAAAATTAATAACAGATGCAGAAATAATAATAATATTAACAGCACTACCAGCAAACAACACCAGTACAGATAGTAGCTAATGATAGCACATAAACAATAAAAAAAAAAAAAAAAACAGATCTCCCTCAATTAATATAAATTATATGAACAATAAGTAATTAGTATGCATACTGAAGGCCAGACAAATCATTACCCTTTATTAAATATGACCTATGTAAAGTCCTGAGGGAGGGGTGTCTCAAAATCATCAGTTTATATTGTATCCTCGTACATGTACAACCATTGTATTGCATTGGCAATGTGCAACTTATATGGAAATGAAAATGGACTTGTATAGCGCCTTACACAATTCAAAATTGTCTCATAGCACTTACAGAATATGAAAAAGAGATGGGAAAACTAACCCACAAACTATCCTTAAACTTATCAGAAAAAATAAAAACGAACCAGTAACACTGCACCGTTCTCCAGCAATTTGAGACACAAGGCCAGCTGGAACAGTACTCGCAGGTGCTCTACTAATACTGGTAACTAATCTAGCCTATTCTGTAGTAAGAATAAAAAAATAAGAAAAAAGCTGAAAGGGAACAAATACATATGTAAATGAGTGGTATATAACGTTGTAAAGCCAGATGAATCATTCTCTGCTCCAGCGTCGCTTGCCAATGTAAATACAGTGCCACATGGGGCGTAGAATATCAATGAGGTTGCGGATCCCGTGCTAGTCGCTTGCAGTAATTATCGTGTGGCAAAATTCTGAATTGGGTGGTCAACTTGACACTGGAGCATTGCATTCCACTGAGCTAGCCGTAGTGTACGGTGAGTGCTTTGTAATAGGTTAGATCTGATAGTTGCATACATCGTATTTCATGTTATTACCAATCACTGAAATACCCCACATGAAGCTGTGTTAATTGATATCATGTAATAAACATATCCTGCTCTTGTAAGGTATTTGTTGCATGACTGTTTATTTTAATTTTAAGGCTTCTTCCTTGGTACAGGTCACTCACTTGGTACGAGGTTTCCTCGATGTCGCCCTGGAGTTCCTGTATCAATATAAGTTTGGTCTTGGCTGATGATGGTGTTCACGACCCACGTGCAGCAAGGCAGTAGTAATCAGACAAACAGAGATGGGTGTCAAGCATAGAGGAGAGACACAGAATTGGGTATTCGTAGTAATGGAAGATTTTAATTATTTTGTTTGTACTACTGTAATCATGTTGTACGCGCATTGGCATAATTTTGTTGGATATCATGATTAAAGTTTGTTTATGAAACATTAATTGATTGAAATACTGGTTGTGTTCTATTTACGTCCTGGTGCGATATTGGCCTATGGTGGGCCATCTAGACACGTGCAGGGGGTAGGCCTTGGAATGATATCAAAATGAGTAAATTATCTTTTATACCTATTGGTTGTTGACCTATTAGATGTGTATAAGAGACAGTATATATATATATATATATATATATATAGGCCTAAAATTAAAGCGAATAAACCTAAAACCAGAAATTGTACTTAATGAAATTATAATCCAAATTGGCTCTATAACAACCAAAACTAAAATATCAAGTCCTAATAACAACATCAAACGATACCTACTTTACAAATTCTGCTTCCTCTACAAAATTATATGATGCAAATCTTGCATAATCATCTCGCTTCTTTGCTGATGGCTCGGAATTAAATCCAGTAAATTGCTGCACCCATCTGCAAAAAGAATGCCAACTTTTTAATGAAAAATATGTAAAAAAAATTGTTAGTAAAACATATAAATCAAAATATAATAGAGATAAACTCTTAACCGATAACATTATCTATTATTTAATATTTCTTTATAAAAACAAAGAGGTGTTTACTGCACCTGACAATAAGAGCAAGTATAATAAGTAGCAACATTATTTTAGGCAAGTGTTGCACTCCCACTGGATGAGATTTTTGGATATGGTTTAATATTAAGACATAGGATAAAGGAAAACTAAGCACATTCAATTCAATGCAGGAAATCACCAAACAATTGTAAGCTTAGCTATTTGGAGGTAAATAACAGAAACATATGTTTTTCAACATTATAAGATAGTATGGTGTTTGCTTGATTGCATCCTGATGGAATCATTTGCTGATGCAGCAACCCACGTTTGCACTATGAAAATCAATGGTGGAGAAAAATATCAACAATATAATTTAAATTTTATGTAAATTGATGGTTTAGTTACTAATTTATGCAGTATTAAATTGGAAATATTTACCTACAATGGGGTTTTATTTATATAATGTTTTACAGTAGTAATTTTGGATGAGCCCGCACTTAATTTAGGCATGCTTACTTGTGAGCTCTTAAGCAATATTTCTTTGGTTATCTATAAATATCTATAGAAACATGAAAACTTCTAACAAAAAATGGCACAAAATTTAAATTAAGAAAATGTCTATTAAATTTGAACGTTAAATTTCTTTTGATCAACTAATTAAAAGGTAAGTTATTTTGAATAATCATAGCAATAGAAATTTATTTTTTGTTGTGGGTGCTTGAACCAAGTCAATATCTGAACAGATATAGCACTTCCCGGACAAAAGTATGTTCAACAATTTAAGATTTATTAATGGAATGTTTCTTTAATTGGTGATTGGGTGTTGTTGGTCAGAGAAATTGTTAAAAATCTAAGTTACAAGAAAGTACAACAGTTTTTAAACATAATGTTATATACACTGTTACTGTGAATTAAGATCACCAGACATAATTTGTGACCAAATTTTCTATTAAGCCAAAATATATATTTGTTAATAATGAATGATAGCAGAACATGTATGATTATTGATTTATGTCTAATCTATTTTGTTTATGATTTACTTTCCCCCCTCCCAAAATCACACAGATAAATTATATATTTTAAAATCTTTCTATCCATTCAAGATAATTATACACTAATCACTTTCAAAAGTCAGTCGGAGTGATTGATACAAGAACAGAGTCCATTGCACAGTAGCTGTCCACGACTCTAATAACGAATGCGGATGATTGACGTCAGAATCGACAGAGGGCCGGATTCTCAACCCGAACAGTGCCACAGACTTCTGAAATGACTGGTGCTTGATGGATGGAAACTGGACAGGAGATAAAAGCATGAAACTGAAAGCCTATGAAGAGGCTGTGTAGCAGCCTTTGCTATGAAGATCACACACACTATTATTATATTTCATACTCACCCACAAATATGCTATTATTGTTTTTTATTTTATTTTTTTTTGGTTTACAAATGTTGTTAATCAAACAAGTAAAGCACATTGTACTTATAATTATAATCTTTATTATAATTACATTTTATTTATTATAGTTTTTATTGCTATTATTTTTAGATCACTTTATACCAACAACTCTATAGCAAATGCATGCATGCTTGAGATTAAGACAATTTTCGTAACAAAAATTTATGTAAATGTATCATCTCTGATAAAAATAATTTATTGAATATATTAATAAATATACCAGTTTTCAAAATGAATATTTAAAAGCCAGATTATAGATTTTTATTTAATAATTTTTTCTTTGATAATTTTGAAATAGCACTCATGAGATATGTTTACAGGCAAATTTATAATTGTAGTATTATCACTATCATCAATTAATATTACAATATTAATATTAGCATTATTATGATTAAATTTCCTAAATTAGTTTTAAAAATTACTTTACATTTTCTACAAAGATGCCATTTTAAAATATGTAGAGGCACTCTGATTAGCCTTACAGCGTTTTTTTTTTATTAATTCAAGTGTGATGAAATTTACTATTATTTAATTTAAATTTATTATAACTGCCTAATTTTATGTCAGAATATTGATGAAGGCCAATCTAGTAAATATTTTGAATGACATTGTTTTATACAGTAATTGTTAATTCTTCAAGAGTTATATTTATTTCTAAATACTGTATATTGTTTTAATAATACTCTATCTGCAGATTATATTCTGTGCAATTCTTGTAAAAAACATTTTTTGCAGATCAATCATCTAATGGCATGCTATGTAGAGCATGCACAATTCTATGAAGGGAAGGTATTTGGCAATACCATTACATAAAAATAATGATAATTTACCATAAACGGTACAAAGCCATTCATTACGAAATACACAAGACAACCAACTATAAATATTAAAACCAATAAAATAGTTTTTAATATACAGTAACAAAATATATTATTTTTACATAATTAAAATTAAAGTAAAAAACCAAATGAAATATACAAAGACATCTTTTTAAAGATAGTCATGTGACAGTTATAATATTACACCAATCACTAGATTTGCGACCACAAATGTTTGGATGAGTGTAATAAAAGAAACATAATTTACCGTATAACATTTGCAATTCCCATTTTAGTATTAAAAGGAACCAACATATTACAAATAAATCAACAACATAGCATTATGGAATCTTATATTGGAGATTTAACTTTACCTATCGATCTGCTCATTGAGTTTGGTGGCCGTTTTTTTCAGAGGAAGACTAAGTTGGTGAAATATGGCTAACTTTCTGGCAATCTCCTTTGATATCTCAGAATTACTTAGTTCATCTGTGTGTAATGCTCTAGACTGTAAATGGAATACAATAATGCTTAAAACAACATTAATAATTACAGTAAAAATTACTGAACACATTTGTATAGTATACATATTAGCAAATATATTTAAAATCACTAATAACAATGACAAATATTTTTTAAAAATTTAAATAAAAAAAATACTGAACATATTTATATATATATATATATATATAATATTAGCAAATATATTTAATCACTAATAACAGTAACAAATATTTTTTTAAAATTTAAATAAAAAAAAAATAAATAAATATATACATATATATATATATATATATATATATATATTTATATTTATATATTATTTTTTTTATTTATTTTTTTATTTAAACACTAATAACAATGACAAATATTTATTAAAAACATAAATATAAAAATTAACAATGAACACATTCAATAAAAGAATATAAACGAAACCAAAAAAAGAATAACAATTAATATTTTTTTTATAAATAAGAAAATTAACAGCAGCAGCAGCAATAAAAATAATCACAATCTGCCTCTACAAATGTAAGATTATCTTGACTTTTTAAGTAGAAAAAAAAACTACTTATTTATTTAACATACTGTATATTTTCTTGTAAAAAATAATGTTTAAAACAATGAAAAATATAGAAAATAAAGGCATTATTTTCTTTTATTAAATATCTCTAAAAATGCTGAAATTATACACACTGTACAGTATGAGGAAGAATAATAATTATATTTTATAAGGTCATTGAACCAGCATGCACTTGAACTGATAAATAGCTACAGTACTTGTTAATTCCTTTGCACATAATTAATTTGCATTCTAGCTTCAGGTATGTTTCAAGAATTGCGAAAACGCAGCTAAAGCAACATTTCGCAAGAGGCTGCCACATCCTGACTCATTATCATATTACTGTACTGTTTAGAGATATCGTCAATGAGAATCCGATATCACACAATGGCTTACCGGTCCACTGGGATGTGGATGATATTGAAATGAATTGGTTTGTACTGAATTATAATCTCCATGCACTAACTGGGAATAATCGCAGCGAGTTTGGTTCTGCATCCAATGGGACTGAGTGGAATATAACCAGGAAGTACACTCATCAATTACTCAACAGTGATGCTTTACTAGACTAATGAAATTATGTGGCTTATGGAAATGTCTTTAGCCAATAATAATAATAATAATAATGATAATAACAGTAATAACAATAATAATAATAATAATAATAATAATAATAATAATAATAATAATAATAATAATGTTAGCTTATTACATATTACAGCCTTTCATGGCAACAAGGGTTCTATAAGTGCTTCACATACTAAACTCCGGTCATTGCATCAAACACGTATGAAAAACATACTAGGCTTCTTAGGAAAAATTCTGCAATGTTGCAGAAGCTAGTAATAGGGAGTTATTGCTAGAACAGAATCACTCATGCATGACCGTCCTACGTTCTGTGCATACAAAGATCTGGCCAAATTACGTCCTAGAATCCACATTAACGTTTTTGCATACACAGATGACTTTTAGTGACATCATTACGTTCTACATCCTATTGTTGCCGAGCAATCGAAAGCTCCCTAATGTTGAGGTAAAACCTACCAGGAGGAACCATTTGTGCATCTTGGCAGTGGTGTATTTAACGGGTGCTCAGGGGCGCATAACCATCCCCCACTCCAGTCATCACCTTGTCCGAAGCAAAAGAAAATCACACCCAAGTAGTTCAAAATCACCTCATACCACCTCATTTTGTGACCTAGTGTGCCCCACTCAATCATCGAGCTCCCAACTCCACCTTTAAGCACACCGCATCAGTTCCCCTTTTCCCCCCACCTTCAAGACTCTTAGATATGTCACTGCACCTTGGAAAAATATAACCACAGATTAAGTGCTTTGCCTAAGGAAATGCACAGTGAGGGACAATGTTGAGAAGCTAAACCGCAATGCTGCACCTAACCACTGCAAGAGAAAATAACCTTGTGTTCACAGGATTCGAACCTAGGACCCTTGGATTGAAGGACAAGTATCTTAACCACCAAGCTACATCTTTATTTTCTGAGTTAAAGATCTCCCCACAATTATTTTTTTGGCAATAATGGTATAAATTATCAGATAAATATAGTTTTATTTTAATTTTATAAAATAATTGTTTTGTTGCTAGTGATCGTATTATTAATAATATTCATGTACTCATCCATTTTAACTCCACAATTTGAATTTAAATATATAATATTCTTGATGTGTCAAAGTTCAATTATGATCTATAGAGAAAATAAATAAAACCTTGAAGGTAATTTTATGCGACGACTGTAAAATAATTAACCTTTGTTTTATTAGAATACCAACACTGATGAACTAAATTATTCAAATTGCAAGAACCATTTTGTTGTCTGAAAATTTGGATGTGACCTGCATCAAATGTAATTTGTGCAGAGAACTAAAGGACGGTTACGGACAGGTGAACTCATCTTAGCTTTACATTATCCACGCAGTCGCAAACACTCTACTGAATGCAGAAATGATAAATGTTGCATAATAAGGCTGTCAATTGATACCAACCAGTACAATAGCTTATAGTTACTATCATCTGAGATATGAATACAATTAATAATATTATATAAATGCAGATGGTTACTGCAGATACTTTTGCCTAGAGTAGCAAATTACTATAATATTAATGGCCACAGTGAATGTTGAAATGCTGTCTTATATACACCAAGCAAAGTGGCATACTGTATCATCATATCATTTATTTCGCAAAATAAAAAAAAAACAAGGGCCTATGGCAGGATTGCCCATGCAAGAAATCTTGCTCTCCTCATAACCCAACAGCAAATACAAAACTGTTTAAAAATATAAATAATAATATAAGAATATTCAACAATCCATCAATTACAAGTTTGAAGTCTGGCAGCACCAAGCACTAAATCTCAATATACTGCCTATTAACTGTTTGTTTGTTTACTTTTTACAATATTTTTATAACCTTTGACTTTAGATTACTTTTATCAATCTGTAGTTTGTAACTTTACTGTATGTTCAAATTGTGTATTTGCTTGTGTAGCTTAAGTTATGAGGAAAGAGTACAAAAATATTTGTTCAGGCTAATTGCCAATTCTCTTTCCTGGCAAATGATATATACTGAATGCTGGATAAATATTATTAAATAAAGACTAACATTCAAAATACCGGTATACACAGATATCAAGTACTGTATCTCATTGGACATTTTGCAAAGGCTTTATATTATGAATAGCGATATTTCTTAACAAACGAGTACTACCGTACTGTATAATAAGCTGCCCAATGCACCAACATTTTAAAATACAAGACCAACTATTGGGCAAGACTTTTCCCCTAAATTTGCAAATCCATTGCCGATTTCATTTTTACCGATGATGATTTTGAAAATTTAAAATTTTGGCTGTTAGCACATTCACCCTGCTAAAAATGTAGAAAAAATATTAATAAATGCCCACCAACACCAAGAATGTCCCAATAAGAAATTTTTATTTCCTCATCAAAATAAAAATATATTTCGCAAGTTAAATTTTATTTTTTTCCTTTTTTTAGCGATGCCATTACACGTCCTACCATCGTCGTGCAAACGAAAGCTTCCTATTGTCGTCTTACTGTATGCTGTATACAAGCAGTGGCACTTTTGTAATGGCAGATTTTGTGCATAACAAACAACAACTCTCATTGTCGTCTGAATTCTAGCAGTCAGTTTGCATCTGTTGTGCAGAAAACACAGGACAGTAGATTATTATTTTCTATTATTTAAGATTTTGTCAAGATAGAATATCTGTCTCAATAAACTTTTTAGGTACACATTTTTCCTGCATCAGGTATCAAGATTCATGACAATACTCTTTGGTGTACAATTTCCATGCTCTAGAAAACACCACCTCTGCACTCTATGAACTTTTTGTCAAGCACAATTTTTTCTAGAGCTTCTAATATTACACTTCTTTTTTTTTTATAAGAACACATTTTATAAGAACACTGAGGCTGAAATTGCTTAAAAATTAAGAACAAAATAAGAACAAATTGAGGCTGAGGTAAAATTTCAAATGAGGTTTATATTTAAAAAAAAACCAAAATATTATATCTGTACATTATGTGCAGCAGGTGTGACTGTAATACAGTACACTAAGTGTACCTAGTACCCTATCTGACATTTGGGGGCCATTTTTTGTGGCGTCACTTTCTCCTACATTCCAGTACAGTGCATACTGCCGTACAATTAAATATTTTTTTTGTTTAAAAGGTGTGTAAACTAAGAACAAAATATGAACATTTTGACCCTAAAATCGGCCAAAAAATAAGAACACTGAGCCTGGGCAACATTTTACTGGTTCTTTAAAAAAAAAAAGAGTGTATTATGTATGGCCATGCATGGCCTTTGATGAAAAACACCCATGGGTGATTCAATTGTCTCTGTGTTTAAATAAAGTATATTATTATTATAACTCTTGTGATTACGGCTTATCTTGATCGGTCAACTGTAAGGTTATCAATATTATTACTGAATATTTTGTATTCTTACCATAGACAATGCTATCTTTGCTTCAATTGAGAGTATCATAGAGGAAACAAAAAACAAACAAAAAAACATTACAAAAGATCAGAAAAACCAAAATTTCTTTTGAATTTGGCAGACAGCTCTGTGCGGTCCCTAATCGCAAGCATGCATGATCATTGCAATCTCTCAAGCAGGTTATTATAGTCTTACAGTAGTGTTTCTGAAGGGACAAAAACATTGACATTTTCTGGGAAGGAGGCTTTAGCCCATCACCCAGAGGCACGCTTGTGCTTCTCAATGGTATTCAGAGATTACTTTTATCTTGAATTTACCATGAAACTTTGCACATCGAAAATTAGGCGAGAAATTTTTTATACCTTCTTTAGCGAACCCGGTGACTGCAAATATTGATGATTTCGAATAAAAATAAAACTTCATTTTTTGCCAATTAGTGCACCCGCTGTCACGAAAAAGTGGAAATTTCAGAAAAAAATAATAAGTTTTTCTTTATTTTTATCACGCCGTCCGCTGCCTTGAAATCTCCAAAGATAAGATATGTATATTTCTTTCTAATTATATAAATTTGAAGTATCTAACCACCTATTTTACATTCACCAATAAATTTTTATTTTTATTCTCTCCTCCATCTGGATGTTTTTAGCAAACTATTTGCTAAATAAGAAAACAAAATTTTATTTTTATTTTGCCCACCTCCGATGATCTTTTAAAAAATAAAAGTACGCAAAACAAGGAATAAAAAAGTCTCTTTAGTCAACAATGCAAATTTCTTATTGGAAAAAAATCAGAGAATCCACTGCTTTTGTGGCTTTTTGACTGACAGATTACATACAAAACCGCCAAACGTAGAAATTGCTGACTTTTTTAGAGGCATTTTGCCAACCAGCCCTCAACTGGGGGGCCTCTATTTGCACTTAAACCTCGCCATATACATGTTTCATTTGTAATAGCAGATCACTTAAATTTTCCTGCCTGTTTTTTTTATTCTGTATATCCTGTTCTTTTTCGTTTATAATTTTCCAAACTTTTGCACATGTCTAAGCAGTGACATACGTTAGCGCCTATGCGCTCTCGTGTATAGACTCTCCATCTGTGATAAGTCCCTCCCTGGCCTTTCTCGATTTTCAATTCCTGGCTCCCCTACTGATAACATAACATTTATTTTGTTGTTAATACATTTAGAATTCATCATCCTAAAAATGGTAATCCTTTGCCTACTGGAAGATATAGACAAGATCGATTTGTCTCCTATAGTAGAAACATACTAGTAATACATACAGTACAGGTCTCCCTCTAATTAAAAACCACCTCCAATTAAAGACCACTTTTCTGTAGTTCCAATTTACCCAATTTTTTTTAAAGTTTATTATTCTAATTAGAGACCAAAGTTGCTAAAGACAATGAAAACCCTAGTCCCAGAAGTGTTCATTAATTGGAGGGAGATCTGTATTTTCATTTCTACAAAGCATTTTGTACTGGCTGGATCTGCAATGCCTTTTGTATTATCCAATTGACAATCATAAATTATTCTACCATCTTGCTAAAAAAATCATGTGTTTGAAAATCAATAGCTTTATCACATGACCAATGCATATGAAATGGCGCAATGCTTTTTTTATCATCCTTTCTGATTATTAAAGTTGTGCAATATAGTTTAGCAGACAAGTTGCCACAACGCCAGTGAATATAAATATGATCCATGAAATATTATTGATAATTCAAACTCTACTTTATATTTAATATTGCAGTGTATTATGTCAAAAGTCAATTCCTAAATTAAAATCATATTTATTCATATAAATTCCTATGCCTTGGAAACATGAAAAACTGTGAAAATTCCATTCCTTATCAAAATTTTCAAAAAAAAAAAATGTACACATAATTTAGGTAGGATTGGTGTTATATAAATCCATATGTAGTTGAATGTGAATTATTTAAAAAACACTGTACTTTAAGTTTGACTTAACAGCCCAGAAAAAAACCCACTAATTGAATCATAGTACACAATTGATTAATTAATTGCATATTAATTAATACCTTGAGAAAACCTTGTGTAAAATCTAAGGGACTTTACCAGCTTTGTATTGTACAAGGCTATAAAAAAACCTGAATAACCATAATACAAAAAATTAGACACATCAATGACAAAACAAACTTTCCACATATAAACAGACTGTCCAGGTACAATTAAATTAATACCTTGAGAAAACCTTGTGTAAAATCTAAGGGACTTTACAAGCTTTGCATTGTACAATGCTATAAAAAACCTGAATAACCATAATACAAAAAATTGGACACATCAATGACAAAAACTTTCCACATACAAACAGACTGTCCAGGTACAATTAAGAAACATAAGCACTGCCATGGACCATAAATATATTAATAAAAAACAATAAATATAAAATAAATATTAAAAATACTTACAGGAATGTATTCTTCAAGCCTTCCTTCTTGAAAGACCCCATACAACTTCGGTGCTTGCTTCCTCTCAGACAACAAAGAAAAGATGATGCTATCACTCAAGGCAGCATCACCATCCTCTCGAATTATGGTACCAAATATGCGCAATAACACCTGTCGAGGTTCTTCCTTTAGCAGTTTCTGTGAGGACGTCAGAGAACAGAGGTAAATGTAATTACTAAGTCCAGTTCTGAAACATAACCAGACAACAAAGCTGTGCAGAATGTGGTACAGTACACATACAGTTACAGAAGGAAACATGCAAATTATTAGTTTATATTTAATTTCACTTATTCCAGCTATTTTGTGTTCAATAGGTAAAATTGTTAAGAGACCAAGCACGTAGTAATGCGAATACAGAGACCAGAGCCTATTGTAACTAGGATCCTTTAAGATAGAGGTTCCTATCAGAACCAGAGGTCCAGCGTGTACCAAGGAAGTGTCAATTTGAGAAGGTGCGCAAAGCGTTTGGAATTATTATACCATAGGTTGACCTTTCTGCAAAGTGAAAATTAGTTTGGTTTATCAGATATACTGTAGGTTTGCCCAAAAGGTGGGTTTGGCCAAACCATAATAGACACCCTCCTAGTTATGGGCCTAGCTGCCTAAGGACATGAATAAAAACCCGATGCTGACTGCCACAGAATTAAATAAACTGATTGTAAACCGATGTTACAAACTGTACATATAGTAGTACATTTTTTTTGTTCACGTATGAATGAAAAGTCATAGAAAAAAAAACCATAATACTAAATTCTGTGGTTAAAGTTACATTCTTTTTATTGTTCCCTGAATTAAGAATGATTTAAGATAAAGATGGATTAAATATAATAAATAATGGAAATAATTTTAATTATCATAAACAGTACCAGGTCTCATGCATATTCAATTATGTTTACAGTATTATTAATTATTAATGGAATTATAATAGGTAGGCATCTGCAGAAGCTGTTGTAGCAATACATTATATGATTATTATTTATTGTCGAAGTTTAATGCCCAACACACAAGTGCATTTTGCGTAAATCATAATCGCTATAGGGCGATCTCCTGATTTAGAATTGCCATCTTTGGTAAACTAACACAAAAGTTAAAGAAACATCAGTTTAGCCAACACAACTGAAGCGAAACCTTGTTATTTCAAGCATTTGTCCTTCCACTGAACAAAGGACAAATAACAAATCTAGAGGGCATTTAGAGGGCATCTAGATAATAAAATTCAAAGTCAAAAGTTTGAAGGGTACAAATAATATATAACCTTAACCTAATCTTAGCCTTCAGTACCTACAGTACAGAAATAATTAATACTTGCATCCATAATACTGCACTTAGGCACAAGGATTTCAAAACATGATCCAAGTCATTTTACAGTAAAAATACGCTTCAACTTATTAGAGGGAGAAGAATTGAAAAACATCTTGTTTGCCATGAATAATGCCATCGACTACTGTACTTATATTTTCTTGCTCCATGCTTAAAATTTAAGGTAACAATGAACAATGACAAGGTCATCTTGAATTAAATAAACCTTTTCAGTGCCTTTCAAAGGTCACAGATAACCATGATTAAAGGATCTAAACTTTTATGTGTCACCACAGCCAATTTATCAAGGGAGGTTATTTCTAGTTATGATGGATGGAAAGCAACAATTCTTGAAATTCTTCATCAAGAATTGTTGATTTTTAATCAATTTCACTGCATCTTGATATTGATAAACATTTTATACCCTTATCATATAATTGGGTGCATCTGAAATACATGAATAAATTCCAAGTGACGTAATAGAACTCAAGTGTTGAAAAAAGTTTTTCTATGGCATTGGAATACACGATTCAAGAGATCTCATTTATGAGTGCTTTTCATATCAAAATTTAAATAAGCTACTGTATCGCGTACAGCACACGAAATGTCAAGACAAAAACATGTCACAATCAGAAAACAGTTTGTAAGTGGTGATTATGTTTACATTAATTTTCAGTGCTTAGAATCATACGGGTCGGTATAGATGTTAATTGAGGAGACCTGCATATAAATCAGTAACTGTTTCAAAAACAGCTTGATAAACAATAATATAGAAAAATCATAATATAAAAAGATAGTTGTATCTTTCTCCTTCAAATAAAGTGAAAGGTATTAAAGTATGGAAAAAGAGAGAAAAAGAGACTGGTAAGTAATGAATGAAGAAGAAATTTAGAAATAGGGTATGAATCAGATGCAGTATATCTGATGTTGTTCAACATTGCTGTTGAGACATCACCCTACAAATTAAAGTTAACAAAAGTCTGTGGGAAAAAAGGTCTGAAACAAAAACAAACTGGAGTAATTTGCTGTGCATTTCTTTCACAATCGTTGAAATAAATATTTCCAAAATATACTACCCAATTTAGCAAGTAGAGGCTCCAATAATAATTTAATATAATAAAAAATTAAATAATGTTATATAATTAATAACAATATAGCAGTTATACTTTTATTAAGATTACATACATAAACCCTCTATTCAGGCACTTAGTGGCGGTTGATATTTGTTGTCTACCTTTTGCAACCATCCCAAATAACTTAAGTAAAGTAATATACCCCAGAAAAGTAATAATAAATCAATACACAAGTCTGGAAAAAATTCATTCAACAATTTCATTAGTAAACTCTGTGAAATAAATATTTTGTGTCAATTATATTATACAGAACCAATCTATTGTAGATAATATAAAGAGATTAGATAATTAGGTGGCAGCAGCAATAAAACAAATGAATGAGAAAACCATTTTTTAACGGTTAGTTTTAAATACATTTATCATGCAACACCTAACCTAAGCATAGAAAAATATCTGCTATCCTTCAAACAATAGGAAAATGAAATTCTAACATTTAGATTGTTCTTAAAATTATAACATTTTCCTGGAAGAATAGCAGATATTTTTAGATTAAATACACCATATTTCTGAAACATTTTGAAAGCAAACAAAAACCCCCAAAACTTGAAAAAAAAAACAAACATAAATTTAAAATATTTCTGTATTAAGATTGAGCAGAGATATAGGGAAACACAAACTTCCAAAAACACAGTATTAAATAAAAAAAAAACAACAACTTAAAGACGTCGTATGATTCCTGCGGAACATAAACAACCTTAGTTTTGATGATGTCACAATTTTGGTTCACACTTGAAGTTAGGTAGTTGCCGGATGTCTGTTCAAGTGGAAGGTAACAAAGATAAATTTCGTTGGTAACGCCACCACTGAAAAGAAGGGAAGAGAGAAACTGTGTTAGAACCAGGTTATACTGTAGTGTAAGCATGGAGGTAATGGTGTACTGTAAGTGATCTTGATGGTACACACCCACTACTCCTTTTCTCCAGGTCTGACCATCTACCTCGACCTTCTCAATCCAGTCTGCAGTATGCACTCAACATACAGAACGATGAAACCTTATTAGGCCGAAAAAAACCAGACCTCTGCGAGGGCCAAGGTTGCTATGCGGGCATTCATGAAATATTGCACTACTGTATTTGCGATGATGTAAACATGGCAACAAAAGAAACAAGGGAGACATCAATGTGTTAATCCGGCAGTTTCATTTTTATTGTTAAGCGCATCGATCAAGGCTTTAGCATAATGCACTATATAAGCCAAAAAATTATAATAATAATAATAATAATAACCAGAGCAATGCAGGCGTCAACGTTCCTATGCATGATACATGACTTAAAAGTATATAGGCCCTATATATATTTATATATGTGTATATATACACATACGTATATTATACGTACGTATACACGTATATATATACATGTATATACATATGTATACATGTATATATATGCGTGTATATATATATATAAATAATATATATATATATATATATAAATAAAATATATAAATATAAATAAATAAATATACATACAATATATATACATATATATATATGTAAATAATATATTTGTGTGGAGGTTGAAAAATACAGTGGGAGTCTTTATGGCCCAAAATAGTGATTTTAGTAATGTAATTCGACAGGCAAATTACAGTAATATTTTTAGCAAATTTCTTCGAAAAAATTTCGTAGGCTATGTATACAGTAATTTCATTTTACAGTAGTTTGGAACGATATCAGGAGTGGGGGTGGTGGCAATGGCCTACAATATATTTGAAGCTATCTTGTGTCCGATCGTCCACACCAGTTGGGCCCAATCGTCTACCACCCAAGTTTTCATTACGATGATCAAGAACGAATACCTTGAAAAATACAGGGGGAGTCTTTATGGCCCAAAATAGTGATTTTAGTAATGTAATTCAACAGGTAAATTACAGTAATATTTTAGCAAATTTCTTTGAAATAGGGCCTAGACCTAGCTAGGTATACAGGAATTTCATTTTACAGTAGTTTGGAACGATATCAGGAGTGGGGGTGGTGGCAGTGGCCTACTACTGGACTACAATTTATTTGAAGCTATCTTGGGTCCAATTGTCCACACCAGTTGGGCCCAATCTTCTGTCACCCGAAGTTTTCATTACGATGATCAAGAACGTATACTATCTAGGCCCTAAGCTAGGCTTAGATTGCTGCCGTCACTCTGCTACGTATACTACTGTACTACCGCATAACAAAGAAAGCGACCCACGCGGTGCATTCTTAAATTGTACACACATTATTAAAATGTATTAGACGATAATGCGATATCACTGACTGAACGATCTACCACCCTCGCATCGCAGTAACTACTGTACTGAACAGGCCTAGCTTAGGCCTAATGTTTTTGTGGAAAGTTAGATAGTCGTTATGTACTCGACATTCGGCTGCCTTTATATCTTCACTTGTCTTCAATTTGTATTCAAATGGTACATTGCTACAACTGTCAACTGTCGGGGATATGGTACCTTCATATGACTACTCCATAGAGATAATAATAAGAATACTAGAGCGCTAACCACAATGTATTCGATGTTTGAAATACGCAGAACTGTGTGGGTACTATCCAAGATGGCTGCCATGGATTTAGCCAATCAAATTTCGCTAAGCACCATCGTTTGCAATTGCGCCCTCAATTTACTCAGAGGGTTCAGTACAGCTAGCTACCCGTATGTTTGAAACTCGAGGGTTGAGGTGTTTGGGTGTAATGTACATGATTTTAATTTTCATTCCTTGGTACTTTATTTTTGAATAAGATGTTTTTTTGTTCTGCTTGTTTAGTGCCAATGATAAAAAGGTGTAGTAGTTGTGGCGTCTGTAGGATATGTTTCCTAGGGGCCAAGCTGTCCGACAGGGGCACTGGAGTTCCTAGGCCGGAGCTTGTGGAAGATTTTGAGAGGGTGTCCCCTTCCAAATGAGATTCTTATTGTTTTAGTCCAACTGCACGAAGAGCTCTGTTTGATGGGGGGGGGAACTTGACCTGTCCGGTGGGGGGATCCTACAATACAGTACATTAACTATGGGTCAGAGCCAACAATTGTTCCACTATACCGTACGGTACACACATAGTCTAGCTTCTGACAGAAGCTGCAAAAGGTTTATTCTGTCAAGCATCAAGTTTGATCAAACCACAACACAATTCTATGCTGTGTCTGTAGAACCTTATCCAAACCACAGTATCAAATTGAAGTTTTTGGAGTTTAGATAAAGTTTTCTGTCCATACTACCCAGGAAAGTCCCTAGAGTCCAAAAGCCATAACATTTAAGACAGTTGGACAACGAAAGTAAACAACATTCCATAAATGTTTTACTCTTATCATACAGTTTTAAACTAGCCTTTTCTTGGGTAGAGGGTATTGTCTTTCATGAGTTATGGCTTTAATATTTGTCAAAATAGAAGTCTACAGTATGCTCTGCTTTTTATGGAAAAAGGAGCCAAAAATATAAAACAGCATTTTTTAAATAGTTGATGAACTTTTAGTTATAATAGTGAATAAACAGTTCACTTTTGTGTCATTGCTGCTCATTCAGTTTATTGTATTTGTATCACTATCGTGTACCTAGTATACTTTAGTTGCTTTTAATAAGAAGAGTAATAAGAACTATGCATGGTGTCATGTAAGTAAAAGTTGGCAATGAACTGTAGAATTTGGACAGCCTTTATAGTTTAAACTAGAAATTGCAAATTGCAAGTGAAGTGCTGCGAAGTACAACTGCATATAAATGTTCTTCGAACAAAATTATTTATGCGACTCAAGTGAAAATAATGAATAATAAAAATATAACAAATAATATAAGACACGACCCATTGTCTACATTAGAACACTTCTCATTGGGTAACAAAGTCGTAATTTTTCATTTTTGTCAAAAAGTGTCTATAGTGGTGAATTATGGTTTAGGTTTTTTTTAATAAATTTTAAAAAATTTCTATGTATGTGGAAAATGTAGTTGATTACCAAAGGTTACAATTTTTATTTTGAAGACTGCATGGTCTAGGAAGTGTACATTTTTTTATGGGGCAAGTTTCCAAGGGCGGGTTTTC